CCCCAGCTGTGTCGGCTTCATGCTCGGCGATATCATCGCGCAGCAAGTGGGCCACCATCCCGGAGCCGGCTTTGACGTCCTGCGCGTGGCGCGCCTGGGGCTGTACGGCCTGTGCCTCGATGGCCCCCTGGGCTCAGCCTGGTGGGTGGCGCGCAGCTGCCTGCATTCGCTGGCCTGCTGCGCGCACACCACTTCGCCTCGGTGGTGCATTGTCAGTGCGGCTTTTCCTTGCCTGCTGCATGCATCATGCACCACAAGTGGCATTGCCACAGCAGCCGCGTTGGAGCCTGGCTGATGACTTGCCCCACCCACGCCCACCGCCAGGTATGACTGGCTGGAGGGCGCCGTGTTTCCCAACAGCCCCACAGAGGCCAAGGCTGTCGCGGCCAAGACGCTGCTCGACCAGGTGGGGCTGGGGCGGGGTGCACCTTTGCTGCGTTATCGCTACGTGCACCACGGTCGGCAGGGGCGGTTCCTGACGCCTGCGGGTTTGAGGCGACGCGGCGTGCGCGCTCAGCAGTGAGGCGCGGTGCAGACGCCCAGCTGCATTCCCTGCAGCGCAGCACTGCAGCGGTTTGTCAGCAGCAGCTCCGCCCACACACGCACCTCCTCACCCTTGATCCTTCCTATCTCCCCCTTTCCTTCCTCCCTCTGCCATCACACCAGGTGGTGTACGCCAGCATTGGCACCGGCCTGTTCTTTGCCGTCATCACGGCCCTGGAGGGCCACCCTGAACTCGCCCCCAGCGTGGTGGCTGCCAAGTTCTGGCCCACCCTGGCGGCAAACTGGGCCATCTGGCCCGCGGCCCACATAGGTGGGGGCCACGCTGACGCATCCGCACTCATGCGGGGCCATGGTCACCCAGCTCGTATACCACCCTCGCTGTGGCTGGCACCTGCTTATCTCGCACAGGCTGGATTGGGAAAAACCTTTGCTCTTTTTGTTAGTGGTATGTGGATATCCCACTCCTGAGCGTCTGAAACCTCCCCAACCACACCCTCCCTCCCCTCCCGCAGTCAATTTCCGGTTTGTGCCCAGCCAGTTCCGCATAGCCTACAACAACGTGGTGGCCATTGGCTGGCTGGCCCTGCTGTCGGCCATCACACACTCCCACGGCCCCTCGCTCATCAACGCCGCCCTCAGCCACCTGCACATGGGCAACACCCACTGATTCATGTCATGAGCCGTGTGCGAGCTGTGCACTAATTCGTGCGCGCCCACTGGCAGCAGCTTGCAGTGGGCTTGCCGGGCCGGTTGATTGAAGCGCGCACCACGCCACGCCCTGAGTGTGGCGTGGTGCAGCGCTGCGCGCGCGCCGCGCGCTGCGCTAGGGGTCTGGGATCGATGGCCGGGCACTTCCCAATTTGTTTAACTGCAACTCTCCACTTCACCACGTCACCTGCTTTGCCCCACACTGCCGACGCCTTGCATTTTGTGTACTGCTTCACTACATTTTACTTGCTTGCCAGAGCTTCGTTACACGGGGGAGCTGCGTCCTTCGTCCCAGCTTTGCCGCTTTGGTGGGCCACCCTCACCCCTACATAACCAACGGCCGGAGCGGGAAAGCAGTCGGGGTCTTTTATGAGTATGCATGCCCCGTGTGGCGATACGTGTGCGCGCGCGTGCAGCGCCAGGGTGAGTGGGCGGGCAGGTGCACCCGCCTTGCTGGTGCGTGTGAGGGTTGTGTTGGGTCGTTTGAGTAGTAGCGCATACAGGGCATTCTGGGTGCATCCGTGTTCCTTGTATCCCCCCATCCTCCAGGCTCCATACGACATTTTGACGGTCGAGCCCTGCCTAGTTCGCGCCTCGGCATCGCATTGCCTCGGCGCCACCCTCCCCCCCGGCACTGTTGCCACTTCACCCCTTGGTCCAAGATTTTTATCCCATTCTTCCCAGCCGTTCCAAGCCATCGTGGACCCATTTTTCTCAGCTGGTGGTGAGGGATGGTGCGCCTTGGTTCATGTGCCCGTGTAACTCGTGGCTTAGATGTTGTCGCCGTGGTTGTGCAGCTGAACACTGATGGGTGCGGCCTCGCAGAAGGGGGGTCCATAACAGTCTGTCTTCAAGGCAAACTAAGGACAAGGCATTGCTCACAAGACGCGGAAAAGCATGGGCACGGCGAAGGACTGTGATGTCACCAGAGGCTTGACCAGAATTCTCAGTGCATCACACACGCCTATGACATCTGCGCACACACAAGTGGTTTTGCTGAGACTGTGTACAATCAACAGTGACAATTATTGTGAAGCCCACGTTCCCGTGGGGGACGCTCCCAGTCCTTGCGGATGCTGCTGAGGGCCCTGTTGCTGCCGCAGAAGCCTCGGCCTTGAGGCTGCGGCAAGGCCGAGGCTTCTGCGGCAGCAACAGGGCCCTCAGCAGCATCCGCAAGGACTGGGAGTGTCCCCCACGGGAACGTGGGCTTCACGATATCCGTCTCAGTTGGCAGAGGCCTTCTTGATTGGGGCCCAGTGCCGATTGCGCTTTGACATGTGGCAATTGGCGCGTTTTAGCAGTTACAAGGTTTGGACTGCAAAATTGGGACTTGAAGCAGTGGAGGCAAGAGGGGGAGGGCGGCTGTTCAAGAAACTCTAGTATGCCCAACAAGGAAGTCCTCCCAGCCACTGGTGCAACGCAGTGGCTTGGTTGGCTGAGTGCGCTGGCTCTGATATCCCAGCACGCTGGCTCACGCGCCTTCAGCCTGGTCGTATGCAAAGCCTCACCAGCACCCACGCACAGGGCTGCGCACAGGCCCGGCATGTGGCTGGAGGGCTGCCACGCCATCATGTCGATGACATGATCGCCGGCAGGAGCCGAGACCTGCGCTGTGACCAAGTCCAGCCCTGCTGCCCTTAGTTCACTCCAAAAGCACATAGCGATGCTCATGGCGATTTCTTTGGGTGTGGGGCGGCGGGTTGGTGCACCAGCTTCCCTCATCCTTGCAAGTTTGCTGCAGCATGTCAACACGCTACCGGTATTTGCATTCTTTGCCCGCTGCATGACACACCATGCATCGAAGGAACGGTTGGCAGGGGGGCTGGGGGGGGATATGTCACCAAACCCTACACTGCACTAGAGCTGCATCCCCAGCACGGCCGGAGCCCAGGTGTACGTACGCTCGCTAGCTCTGCCACCCTTGCTGCCCGCCGGTATGCCAAAAAAATCTGATTTGCAGTGGTCAGTTGGGACACTTTTCATGCAGAGTCGGCTAGATTGTCCTGCCTGCTCGAAGCACCAAAAGCACATCTGCAGCGCACATGCCACTGTGCCAAGGGGCTGTCCTTCATCTGCAGGGGCGGGCGCCGCGGCCCCGCGTCACAGTGTGAGGTCCACCGTCTCGCGCTCTGGCCGTGGCGGTGGCCGCGCCGCGCTCCGCAGGCCTGCGCCGCCGTCCTGCGGCAGGGGCGCCGCCTGGGCACGCGGGGCTGGCGTGTCCTGCTGTGAGTGCTGTGTGGGCTCTGGCCGGGCCAGGAGCAGAGTTTGGTGGGCCACCAAGTCGTCCACAAGCTGCTGCTGCTGCCCGGGCTGGGGCCGCCAGCCCTCTTTTCTATGCTGCACTTGCTGCTCCTGCTGACACTGATGCTGCAGCTGTTGTCGTTCGTGTTTTTGTTGGTACACTATGTGCTGTCGATACACCTGCTGCTGCTGCTGCTGCTGCTGCTGCTGCTGCTGCTGCGGCGCCCCCTCCTCCGCCCTTTCACTCAGCCCCGCCAGCCGCTCGATGTCCCGTGGCGGCCCTGCCGCCTGCACTCCCGCCCGCCAAAGCTGAAACAGCGCCTGCCGCAGCGCTTCTGCACGCCGCGCGTCGTCCCCGGCGCCCGCCGCGCGCCGCGCCTCGGCGGTGCAGGCGTCCAGCAGGCGTGGCACGTGAGCGCGCAGCAGCTCCTCCATCAGTGACAGGTAGGGCAGCACGCGGCCCGCCACATCAGCGCCGCCGGCCGCGGCGCCCGCCGTGCCATACAGGAACCCCGGCGAAGCGGGCGTGGATTGTCCCCAGGGGTCCAGGGACCCCTGCATCAGCAGTGCCACCGGCTCTGGGTACTGCTGCTGGAGGGCTGCGCGGTGTGACAGCAGCGGGGGGCGATTTTGTCGCAGCGAGAGCGTGGGTTGGCGCGTGGATATGCCGGACCTGCAGCTGGTCTGGGGCGGGCCTGCCATCGGAAGCCACGGGGTCACCTGACTCCACGCGGCTCGTGGCTGCTGGTCCTGGGGGCGTCACGCACAGCCCCATGACTACAGAGTTACACCTCCACCTTCAATGCGCCCCCCTAGGCGATTCAGGGCCGCTTTTCCCCACATGCCGACTGCCCCGGCCATCCGACCCCTCCGCTCCCACTCCGCAAACACCGCTCACCGGCAAAGGCCGTCTGGTAGCCCAGCGTTGTTTCCTCGGCCAGGCCAACCCCTTCCTGCAGTCCAGCCCCGCCAGCACCCGCCCCCTCGTCCTCTCCCCCCTCCTGCTCCCCACCGCCCTCCTCCATGGCGGCAGGGGGCTCCAGCAGCACGGCTCCCTGTAGCTGGGCGCACAAGGCCTGTGGGAGCAGGGGAATGGGGTTGAGTGAGGTGAGGGGTGGGTGTGCGCGGATGGTGGAGCGGGATTGGTGTGGTAGCGGTGACCAGTCGTTGGAGGAGGGCTGGTTGGTCGGGCACATGCCAGGCGCGCCCCCAGCTGATATGGCGCAGCAGGCACAGCGGTCGTTGGAGGAGCGGCTGGCTGACAACGCTGGTGCAGAGAGCGAGCAGGCAGCAGCAGCAGCAGCAGCAGCAGCAGCAGCAGCAGCAGCAGCAGCCGCAGTCGCAGCAGCAGCAGCAGCAGCAGCAGCAGCCGCAGTCGCAGTCGCAGCAGCAGCAGCAGCAGCAGCAGCGGGAGGCAACGAAGTCCCACCTGAGTCTCTGTTCCTCCGCCGCTGAGCGCGGACCCATCCTGCGCCTCCGCAGAGGGCCTCGCCTGTGCGCCAGCCTCGTCGCTCCTGCTGCCGCTACCACCGCTGCCGCCACTGCTGCTGCTGTTGTTACCGCCGCCGCCACCGCCGTCTGCGCGACCGCCGGTGGCCCCACCGCCGCGGCATCGGCCCTCAACGTGGGGGGCCGCCTCGGGCGCTTGCCAGCGAAACGCACCGCTGTGGCCGCCTGGGCCGCCCAGGATTGGCACGGCTGCCGGCAGGGGGGGCGGGCTGGGGGATGGCGGCTGGGACGGCGCACTGGGCGCAGGACCAGTGGTTGGCCTGCGCAAGTGCAAGGAGAGGCGATTGCATCGACAGTGTGCGGTCGTCCGTGGACACGATCAAAGGCCAAGATGTCGAAATGAACAGCCTGCCGTATCATGCCCAGGATCGTGGGGCGGGCTGGCAGGACTGGCCAGGCCATGCAACAACTGCGCGTTGGGCACACCCTAGGCGCCTCTCTTGGCGGCAGGCGTTGCGGCAGGATGCCGTCCGACGCAGCGCCCACTCACCCGTCACCCCCACCATCAGGCACGCGGAATATCCCGCCGCCGCCGCCGCAGCCGCCTCCGTGGGCGCGGCTTCTGGCCTCTTCCTCTGCCTCCCCCACCCCGACCCCCACCACGTCATCATCATCGCACCCTGCTGCCTGCCTTGCTGCAGGATCCTGGTGGGCCCCCTCCTGCTGCTGCTGCTGCTGCTGCTGCTGCTGCTCACGCCGCCGCCGCTGTCGACGACCCCCGCCGCCTCCGCTGCCATCGCTGTGACCCGCCTGCCTCTCCTGCTCCGGGCCCTCATGCTCTAGGTCAGGCCCCTCCTCCTCTCGGGCGCGCCGCCGGCCACACACCGCCCCACCCCTGGCCCCGCCGCCACCGCGGCCCTGCTCCGCCGAGCCGGCCGCAGCGCTGCCGCCGCCGCTGGCCGATGCGCGCCGCGGCCGCCCCTGCGGCGCCATGCCGCCGGCACCCTCGCCGCCGGAGGAGGCGGACACAAGGTCAACTGACTGCCTCCCTTGCTGCTGCTGCTGCTGCTGCTGCTGCCGCTGCTGCCCCTGCTCCCTTTGGGCGCCCCCGCCCCTCGGCTTTTTCTGCCGCTGGGAGCGCCGAGCCCCGGCCTCCTGGCCCCGCGCCCACTCCCGCCGCTGCAGCCGCGCGGCCATAGCCTCGTCGCCGTCCGACTCATAGTCAGGCCGCCAGTCGTCGTCGGAGTCGTCAGCGGCGTTGCCGCGGCCGCGGCGACCTCTTGCAAGGCCGAGCGCGCCGCCGCCGCCGTGCTTGGGGCCCTCCTCCTCACAAGGCGGCTGCCAGCTGTCGTCAGAGGCCGCGCCTCCGGGCCGGCCGGGGCCGCTGCCGCGCCCGTCCTCCGAGCCGCTGCCGCCGTCTCCGCCCCCCGCCTCGCGGCGGCGCTTCCGCGCCTCGCGGCGCGCGGCGGCGGCGGCCTCGCGATCGGCGCGGGCGGCGGCGAGGGCGGCGGTGGTGGCTGGCAGCTGCTCGCGCCAGAGCTCTGGGCCGAGGTAGCGCACACCGTACCTTGATGGTTGTGTGCGTTCATGTGTGGTGGAGGGGGGGATCGGGTGGCCAAGGGATGGGGGGCAGCAGGAATGGGTGTAGGAGGAGCAGGCCATACCTGTAGGTTGATCTTGGCGGTAGCTGCAGGGGCGTGCGCCTGCCAGGACCCCCGGCTGCGGCCGCCAGATGTCACCGCGCCTCTGCACCCTCTCCGATTGCCTCCCCTCAGCCGCACCCTGAGAAGGCTCTCTTCCTGCCGTCACACAAGGAGCACCTATCTGTTCCCGCAGCGAGCCCGGACCCGGTGCTCCGCTACCGACACAGCTGGCGCGTACGCCCCCCGCCCCTCACCTGGCCTCCCTGCTGTCGTGCTCCTCCGCCATGGCCCTCAGCCGCGCCACCACCTCTGGGTCACTGCCCTGCGTGGCCTGCTCCGCCATCAGCCGGTGCAGGCGTGCGCGGATGGCGTCGCGCAGCAGTCCGGCGTTGCGGGGGCAGAACCAGTCCGGACGCAGGAAGCCGGGGTAGGGGCTCGCGGGGCCGCCTGGTGGGGACGGTGGCGGTGTTGGTGTGTGTGTGTGTGTGTGTGTGTGCGGGGTGTGAGGGTGGAGGTTTGTGCTTACGTGTCAGAAAGGGGGGGTGGTAGAGGGTGGGGTGAGGCGCCGGGACTCGAGGCAGGATTTTGTGGCATTGGGATGAGTAGCTGGTGTGTGCAGGTGTGGTGGGTGGCAAGGG